AGATAAAGCTTCTAGATGTTTTTTTTCTTTTAATATGAATGGTTTCTACTTTAAGTTTATTCCTCTAATTTATCTAATTTATCCTTTTTTTTTTTTTTTTGGTTTAGCCTAGAATCCTGCCTGACCTGGAATATTGCACAGGGAGTATCAATGGCTATGAGTCACATTTTGGTTTGAGAATAAAAATGAAATGATATGAATTAATTTCTTAGGAGCTTTAAAAGACTCAAAGCTGTAACTTTAAGGGTGATTTTACTGATGTTTAAGGCCATGACTAGAATGCCCACTTCTCTGGGTGATGGGTGGAAAGATTCTGTGGATGGTAAATTTGTGAGACGTATGTTCCTTTCTTTTTTCTTTTGTCAAACCTCGGCAGAAACGTCCTTTGAAGATGTTCATTTTAAAAGACTGGAAGAATAGAGTCACATATAGATTTTAAATACCGTGATAGCAAGGACAAGGCACCTTCAGGAGCTGATCAGCTCACAACGACACAATCAAAAGTGGAGAACATTGGCTTAAATACCGTGACTCTCATGTCCAATGAATATTGATACCCTCAGAGTGAGGATCAGGACTTGGCTCCATGTACAAAGTCCAATGTCTGTCCTTAAAGGGTTCCACCTGCTGCCATTGCCAAGTGGTGCCTCACAAACCCCCCTTCAAGCTTCAACGTTGTTTTCATTGCTTTGGTTTTGTTTCCCAATTACAAACACGATTTGCAAAATGAACAGAAATCCGAAAGGTTTAAGGTTTCCAGGCAAACTCCCCAAAGGCATTTGGCAGCACCGTGCCAGGGTGAGGTCAGAGTGAGAAAAGCACTCTAATTTAAAATTCTTCACTGGTCTCATCCAAAAGATAGACAGTGGCTGCTGAAGCTGTGCTTCCAGGATGATATCCTGCAGAAAGCAATTTAGGTTATTAGCACAGAGAGGACAGAAGAGCAATTTTCCAGCCTATACAGTTAATCAATAGGAAGCTCCCACTTCCTCTGGAGGGAAGGGAGAACAGTGCTTAAATGACAATGATTCATAAAACGGCTTGAAAACATTATAATGGTACGAAAAAGGCATTTGAGAATGGAAAAAATTTGAAGAGGAGAGACAGAGGTAATTTATACCAAGGGCTCGGGTGGCCAGGGATAGCGAGGAAGCCATCAAGGCCTGCTGCACAGGCCAAAAATGAAGGCCCAGTTCACAAAGATAATGCACACTGCTGACACAGAAAAACCAAATGCCTAACACAGAGATTTGTTTGCAATCAATGGACATGTGTAAGCCCTAAACTCTTATCCCAATTCCTGTGAAATAGAAAAAGAAAGTACAGTTAAACAGATGACCATCAAACCTTATTGTCACTAGACAAGCACAGTAATGTCTGCCTGCAGGCCACTGTTTAAGAAGCAGTTTATGGTGAAATATGGGTTTAGGCTTGGGACCTCTGGTTTGTTATCAAGTACAAAAGAATGGTGCAAGTCACCAAGAGTGTTTATTTTACACTGATTAACATTTTGCTTATTAAGCTAAATGTAAGTGTGGAATCATTTGCTGTAGTGTTTTTGAGAAGACTTAATAGAAGTGACTTTTAATTGGTGATTCAGAGGCAGTGAGAACTCAGACACTGAATATAACAGACAAGTTGCAAGTGCTTTGTATCAGAGAGAGCCTTTGCTGTCACACAACATCTGTATCCTTGCTCCCCTTTTTGTGCATATTTTCTCTGCAGTAACCCAATTTCCTCAAAAGCAAAACCTCTGTTTGATTCGGGGAAAATTTCACTTAAGATCCCCAAATAAACCAGCAGGACAGTTTCCAGAGGAGGAGTCAGGAAGGAAAGCTGATGGAAAGCATCATGGAAGGTGGTGTGTGTGTCCCTACAACCCTCAGCACAGGTGGGTGATTTGCAGCAGCCCTCAGCTCCCATAAAATGTAGGGATTCACTCTCAAAAGGCAGGAGGGACAAGGCCACACTTTTATCTTCCTCTACCTCCTGCTCTTGTTTATCCCAGCTGGCCTCTTTTTATCTTTTTAATTTTAATTTTGCTAAAAAAAAGTATATACTTTTTTGATGCTAACATCATCCTCAGGACAAGAATAGCAGAAACTAGATATTAGAAAACATATTTTACTAGTTCTATTTTATAGTTGTAAAATGTTATGCAGACCTAGTTTTACTTTCTTATATGACACCCTGGCTGCACAACTTTAGCCCTGTGACTATGAGGAAGCTTTTTGGTTTTGCCAGCCTGAATAACTGTTTAATGGCACACACCAGTTGTAAAAAAGTTCTTAAACATGAACTGCATTTGAAAAGGAAGTGTTAGTGGGACGAAACATTTTCTTTATTACTTATTGATTTTTGTAGCTTGGTTAGATAATTCTTGGGCCTGTTAATTGCACTAAAAAATAGGTGTCTGTACTAGAAAAACCTCTTTTATCATGGTGGACTCCGTCAAGCTCCGGAGGAGAAAGAAGAATATTATATTAATGGGAAGAGGTGAATGATTTTGTTTAGAATTAACGTACTTTTAAAGAATTTGAATTAAGCTCCTGCTGCTCCACCTGATTTTCTGCAGTGCTGTACAATCTGATAAGTAAGTGCTCAATTTCCCTGTTTCTCTGTGTGTTGAATAATCCATGGCCATGTATATAAAAATAACTTGGCATAAAAATAACTGAGTAAATTTCTTACTGACAGTTGTACAGAAACATTTAACCTAAAAGTGATGTTATAATTGCTTCTAATCATAGCAAGTGTCTACTTTGTCTGGACTCCACTGAAAATCTGATCAATGAATAAATATAAATGTAACTATAAATATGACATACTTATTTACCGATATTTCTGTGCTGAAATTCTATATTCTGGAGATTTTTTTTTATATAAGACAATTTGACCTTTATTTTACAGGCTGAGATGGTGGTGTTTGATATCTCTAGGCCCAGTTTAAGTGAATCCTGAAAAATTTTAGACACACCTTCATTTACTGCCTTGACCTGCAGATCTCGTGGTGCCTCATAAAAAAATCCACAGGACTTTAAAGTCAAATAAATACTCTTAAGTTATGTTCTACCCCCTAATCAGATCACAGCAGAAGAGTGATATAATGTGGGATTCTCAGTACATAGTTGTAAATAGGATATTTTTACATTTTCATGTTTCTAACCATTAAAGAAAAAGGGTAGATGGGGAATGCTGGCCTTGAAAAAACAGATATGCTGGGATTTAGCTGTAGTGTTGTCCCAGATGCCCTGCACTGGACTATTCAGTCTTCTAGGATAAAAGTGTTGAAAACCCAGTGCAGTTACAGGGTATCTGCTGTGACTTGTAAGCAGCCTGTTTCCTTTGTGCTTAATAGTCCAAACAGTACGAAAAGCAAATAGAAATTCTGGATTTAAACTATTATAAAAGTAGTAACAGCAGGTGCTGTTGTAGTATTTGTAGTGGCAGCACTAGTATTTACCTCTCTGGGATATTAGAGACAAGGTAAGCAGCTGAAATCTAAATTAGGAACCCTTATAAAACTGCATTTATAATGTCTGGAGTTATGTATGATAGATCCATCCTTTCACGTGCTGTAAAATTCCCTGTTGGCAGCAAACCAGCTCTGCTGTTTATCTTTCCCTGTCCATGTTTCCTTGCTAGGATTGCCCTGGTATACAACAGACCTTACAAAGGGAGGGGATGGCATGAAAGTGTCAAATTCAGGATCATTTAAGAAATAACCTCCCCAAACCCTCATTAAATCCTTCAGAAGTGATGTTTTGGATCCATGAGGTGCATGCACACCCCCCAGCTCCTCTCTTGACAGCAGATGAAGAGGACTTAAAGACTCTTGCACTGAATTGAATTACAGCTTGCATCAAATACTAAATGCAAGGTTTTCAAACAGAATATACTTTTTGCAAGGGTTCCTCTATAATAACAGGAATTGCCAGGTTGCTAGGTTTCCATTCACTCTTCCATGCAATTGCCAGTCAAATGATTGCTTTCTGTAAAAAGTTATAATTATTATAATCAAATACAATTTAAAACTTATGCTAGGTGGGATGATGTTACAATCAGAACCACTCTATGAGCTACAATAAAATCTTTTGTCAGTGCTTTTCTTATGAAGTCTGGTTTTCACTGGGTTTTTAATTTATTCATGAGTGTTTATCCAAACTTCAGATGCACTTGTGCATAAATATAATTAAAACATATTTGTTTTGCATCTAGGAATAAAAAGATAATTGGGAGCGTAATGAGTTGAAGGTCAGAGCAATCACACACATTTTTACTTAGTTCACAGTTCTAATCATAAATATCTTTGCACATGCAGTATTTCCTGCTGCTTTGGTGCACTGGCTCACAACATTTTCATTATTCCCTGTTTTCAGTTTATAGTCTCCCTTCATGTATTTATGAAGATTCTCCCAGTGTTTACAATCAATATTGGAGCGAGTTTGTTTGTCTGTTTGTTTGTTAAGGAGCATGGAACATTTGAAGTCCTGCCTTATTCTCCTGTAAGCATATTAATGGGTGGGCTCCATGGTCTGAGGGGGACTGGCAGTTACTCCTCTTCAGTTTTAGCACAGCTCCTGCACATTTGATAATCACTTGGACCACACAAGGCTGCAAACAATCTGATCTGCTTTGACAACGTGACCTCCAGAGAGCCAACCCCATTTCTCCTGCTACTTTGTGGTTCTGTTCTATCACACCTCATATCATCAAGAAACCCCTTGTGTTAGAAGGAATGTTGGTAACAATTAATATGCAATTCTCATCTTGTAAATTCCTCTGTACCCATGCTGCCAGAAAAAGAACAGATGTTTGTGTTATCACAGCTGAAAGCTGAGCTGCTCAATGAACAACAAAAAGCAAATCATTATGTTACAATCCTTAATTTATAATACAAATCAAGCACTAGAGAAGTAAAAATTGTTTGGCATTTAATATCATGTTATGTTTTTACTGCAGTCTAGAAGAGCAAATGCTACAGAAACATCATTTTTAAGGTGTGTAAGCAGGCCAGGTATCAGAGGCCCTGCTATCTGATGTTTTGGCCATACACATCCTGAAAGAGGTATGTTGTTCCTATGCAGAATCTGTAAAGGACAGAGGGAAACAGATTTACTCTTAAAAGTTAATTTAATTCTGGTAAACCACCCATTCCATCTGTCAGCAGGAATATGGTGTTCTGTGATACCACAAAAACTGCGTAAAAATTAAAATACACTCTCGAAAATTGCATTAAGCTGATGCTTGAAAGGTGAGATTCCCTCCATCTGTGTGTGATGCCCGAGTATCAGGGTCTGTGGTACCTACTCCAAACCCATGGCACATTCTAGTGCACACAACATGACTCCAAACTATAAAAGGAAGTGATTTAACACCTAAAAAGAACCGTTGCAAAGTATGGAATTGTTTATTTAGATGTACCTCTTGTACCCTGTCACATTAACTGAGTCCATCAGTTGGGGACTTGACTACAGAGAGATTTGGACAGGATGTCCAAACCCAGGTGATTCAGCACTAAGGCTTCACTGCTTTCTGGGTGTCTGACTGTCTTTTGCAAATGGAACTTAAGTACATTACAGCACTGATTTCTCAAAGGCAGCATGGGAATGATAAAATAAGGAGCTAAACTTGGATCTCCTGCAACCCCATCAGTTCTCTCCCAACCCAACGTTTGCTAGTGAATAAGAATCAAAAGACGAAGGAAACTAGCACTTCTGGATATAACTGCAACGAGGAGAATATAAGAATTAAATAAATCACAGATATAGTGAAAACTAGACCACATTTTTTTGAATTATTTTCTATTGTATCACCGAAAAGTTCTAGTAGTGATCGAAATAAAGAAGTAAAAGTTTACACTGTTGCTTGCTTTGTATGAACTGTTTCATTGATTGCAAGGTTCTAGAAATGAAAAATTGGTTTGTTCACCGTAACATTTTCAATGAATCATATATAAGGTGACACTGTGCTATTATACTACAAAGTCATGTAGTAGAGAAACATAACGACCTCTCTGGTAATCTTACAGTTTTCAATGGAGTATCCTCATACAGCAGTAATTTGATATTTTGCAGTTTTAAAATGTAATTGAAAGCATTTTTATTGGATACATTCTCATTACACAGCACACAGCCTTCATTTGATAAAGCTGTTTAACAGCAGATTGAAAATGAATGATCAGTTAGAAGGGAAAAAAACACTGATGAAAAAGGGAAACTAAAAAGCTTGGCAAAATTTTAATCACTGTAAATTTTGCGATAATGACATTGCTCTTCAAGGTATTCTGATTTTTTCTTTGCCAGCACTCAGAACTCTCTGTGTTCCATTAAACGCTTCACTGCAGCCTTGCAAGGGTTCTCAAATGTAACCTGGCAATTCACTCAACCCACACTGAAACAGCAGCACTGGCTCCCTTTCCCTGGCTGCTCCCACATTTCTCCCTTTCCTTATATATGTTTTCCTTCCCCACCAGCTCATTTGCTGTCAGTTCTGAGCAGCTTTAGAAGTACTTACAGACAACAGGTAGAAGTTCAGCTGTCTTTCTGTTTTGCCAGTCTTTGCATCTCTTCTTGTCATTTTTCCTCATGCATTTCAGCTTTCCTGATTCCAAAAAAGAAGCTGGCATCAGTTTTGTGCCTCCAACTCACCCGAGTGAAGTGGAAGTTACGTGTTCCTTAATTAAGGGTGATGTGCATTTTGAATTTGGGAAGTTGGCCTAATGTCATAAGAACCAGCTGGCTTTGATAACTGGTTGTGTACTGTGATCCATTTATCTGACTCAAATAGAAGAGAATGATGCCAATAATTCAAAATAGAAAACTCTTAAACTGCATATTTTTTCTAGTAGAATAACAAACTACCATAGATAAGAACCCTGCAAGAGGGATCAAAAATAAACTTATTAGGAGACTCATCATGCTTCATTTTTTTTCCTAAACTGTTTCTAGGATAAGACTTTTGTATCCATGCTAAAGGAAGTGATAGGAATTTTGAATTCTTGTTTTGCTAATCTCTAGATGTTAAATGTCCCTCAGTTTTGTTAATTTGTTTCTGCACTTCCCCTGAGACAATTCCAATTTCCACAAGCCTGCTTTTATACTGATTGATTCAGAGACAATAGACTGAAAAGGTATAAAACCAAACAGCTTATAATAGAAAAGTAATGTTGGCTGCTGTAATTAAAGACAACCTTCTCTCACTTAGCAATAAACTACATTTAGATTTTGTCAGTAATTGGCAAACGAATGAGCAAACAATATTACACATTTTGCACTTCAAGTTTCGGGTCTCATCTGCTCTAGAAAACCTCTCTGTCTTATCTGATGCAGTGATGATGAACAGATTTAGGGTGTTGGGAAGCAGAAGGAAAAGAACCCAAACCATGTATCATATAGAAATTCTTCTGCTTATTTGAGCAAGAGAAATGTAGACAATGCCTCAGTCCTGATTTCAAGTTCAATTTTTTCTTTTTCAGTACCTGTAACTTCCTCTCACGCACTTCTCCTTTTCTTCTTGTTCCCTGAAATTGTTGTAGTCACCCACAGTCTCCCGTGGTCTGAATGTTCCTGCTCTGTATCCCTTTTTTGTTTGATCTGTGTATATTTTTTCCATTAATTCTTTCATTGCTGCAGTGTCATGGCTTGGGCTGGAACTGCAGAAGTCTTCAGAAACGCCTCATCAGGAAACTGTGTAGCCCTCCCAATTTCATTAATGGGCACAAGTGTCAAATATTAATTTTCCTATTATATTCCTTTCTGATGTTCCAGACAGTAAAAAATATAATGCAATTAATCTAGTTCTTTCAGCTTTTAAAGCAGAAAAACTGGTAATAAATAATTCATGATGACTTGCTTTGAAATTTCTTTTCCTTCTTTTTTTAATGGTTCATTTAAGGGAGCAGAGATAAAGTAAAAACACGAGCTGTAGAAAACACAGCACTGGAGGATATAACTGCACAAATATCATATGATGGTCTCCATCCTCAGCACTTCTTTGTACGAAATATGTGGATTAATTTAGGCCAGTAATTAAGACAACAGATCAGAACTCCCTGCCTAGATAATGGCTGGGACATTATTATGGAGGGTTACTGCTGACTCATGGAAGGGTTTGCTTAAAACTGACATTTGCCAAACAGCCAAATTCTAGAATTCACTTACACATCAGGTTTCCTGGAGATCCCAGTGCAGAGCCAAACAGTGTTGAAATCTGTATCTCGTTGTGTCAGATGCAATTCTCTGTAAAGGAAATAGTGGAGGATTCAGAGAAAGCCTCACTACAATGGGACAGAAAAATAGCAGCATGGATCTTGAGATTCTGTGTTTGGGAAATAAAAGTTATGTCGTAATTCTAAGAAGCAATATCTGATATCTTCACTAAAACCTGGCTGATCTTCTTTGATTTTTTTAATTGAATGTTTTTGCTAATAAAGGAATACATTTGAACAGAAGAAAACATTGGAAAACAAGGAAAAGGTAAAGCAGGAGAGGGTAAAAAAAGAGAAAAAAAAGGGAAAATATAACAGAAGTAGATTTAAACTTTGAAAATTTGCAGGTTTTTGGCTTTTATCAACAGGTCAGTATGAGAAGGAATATGGCAACTGAAATAATATCTTGAGAAACAGCAATGAAAGATGATGATCACTGAGGCAGATTTAGGAGATTTCTACTGCTATTTAAGAATATTAAGAATTAATTTGTTATTGGAAACCTGTGCATGATCCTTATTTTGTTTCCACAGTGTAAAATGACTTGCTGCAATAGAGCATTTCAATCTGCAGCATGGATTTATCAGCATAACCACTGCTGAACTCCAGCTTGGCAATCCTAGCTTTCTTTCCAAATATATATTACAAAATTATTTATATAGAAATATATAAATTTTCTACGTGTGCTCGCTCTGATTTTCCCATCCGAGCCATTTCAAAAAATACCCTCTCCCTTTTCAAAAAGATACCAGTAAATGTAGAAAGAGATGCAGAATGTTTGACAAGACTTGATCTGAATTCAAAGGCTACTGCTGAGTATTTAGGAGGAATCATTAAGGTTTATTAATTTCTGGGGTATTTGGTGTTTGGAACAAGGAATTCTCAGGACATGAGGTGACAGCCCTGCTGTGGCAGCATCACCAATGTGCTTTCAGCACCAGTTTCATGGATAGATGTTCTTGCAGCTTCTATTTTCTGTCCTCATGCATTTTTTCCCTCCCTAATCTGTTGCAAGGGAGAGAAGTGCAGTGATAAATGGCACACAGTGGCATAAACATAACCAGGGGCTGCCAAGGATACCCTTGGAAGGCTGTGGCATAAGTTACACCTTTTCCATAAAGCCTTAGTATATGATCTGATGTCCTCTGCTCTGTGCAGGTCCAGGCTGTTCCATAAATAATGTGAATTCCCTCAGTCAGAGGCACACAAATAGTATGTTACACCTATGCAAGGAGCAAATGATTTTTTGAAAAATTGGGCTCTTAAACTGTATTATGGATAACAATTCTCACCATCGTCGTTCATCCACCCAGATAAAATGGTACCTATTTCCTCCTTAAATGTCAAATATGTAATATGTATTTTGAAATAGAAAGGATACCTTAGGGTACATGCTAATGTACTTCCTTCAATTACATTTTATGATTATGACCTTTATTCCAACAATAATTTAATGTTTTAATTAAATTTGCAACCATTTTCATTGCTGCAAGATGTCCTTCATCTCTCTGTACTGTAATTTAATGAAGTGATTTTCAATCACAATCAGCAATATCTAACAATAAATTTTAATACCATTTCTCATGAGTCTAAGAGGATCTTTCATGTTTTAAAGCAAACTTCATATCAGTGCCATGGCAAGGAATAATTCCAACCTTTACTGTAAGCACAGAATACACATTTTCAGGTTTTTCAGCCAGATCTTGGGATGTGGAAAAATCAATGTTTATTCCAAAAAGAGACTTCTTATAAAAAAGGACCTTTAATTAAGAAAGAGAAAAAAAATAAATAATGAAACTGTTCCAAAAGGGATAGCACCGTGGTAAAGAATGAAAAAATGTCCATTAGTAATCACGATGTCTCTTAATTTTGATTTATGGA